TGCTGGGAATACATGTGAGACTGCTGGGAGTTGTCATGGTATTCATCGTGCTCCCTTCAATAGACTCTCCTCTTTATTCATGACCACACACACACCCGGCAGTTTAACCCATTCCCGTGGTCAATATCTACAATTAGCCTCTGTTTATTTAAACTAAAAAATTAAATATTTAAATTAAAAAAAGATTAAAAATAATTTGGAGTAAAACTTGTAACCAAACTCATCTTAATGTGATAATAAAAGGAATTAAAATAATAATAAATGGATTGAAAAAAGGCAAAAAACTGGTAACAATCTGTTAAAATAAAAGAAATCAAAATGAAACATAAACAAAATCACAATAAAATACAAAACACACACATATGAATTAACATAAATAAATAAATACATAAAATACAATGAATTTGAATAAAATAACACTCACAGTAAAATTCAGTTTTAAAAAGAAAAGAAATGGTAATAAAACATGAAGTGTTAAATCATAAAAAAATAGAAATTGAGAGTGCAGTTTCTCGAACAGTGAATTAAGAAGTCGATATATAAGTAAATAAAAATATATTTTTTATTTTTCTCATATGTCAGCTGGTAACTCAATGATTCAGGTTCAGGTTTTTCATTTTGTTTGTAAAATAATAAAACATAATTACCACATTTACAGTCTCCAAACAAACACATTGAATATTATATTTTTTTCCTCTTTAATGCCGAGAAATGTGACATAAAAGAGCAGCTGAGACACCAAACTGAAAGAATACATGGAAGCAGGGGGCTGAAAAGTTCTTTCTGATATGCTCACTAGATTCAGCTGCAGTGTAAAACTTTTCACACGCTGCACAGAGGAACTGGATGAACTGGTTCACTGAGGAGAAACCAGTAAAACACACATTGTGATATAGTTTTTAAACTGTTATTTATTTCTTATATTTATACATAATATTTATTTATTTATATTTTTAGATTTATCTGTTAATTAGCATCTGATTCAGAATTTTAAAAAAAAAGTCCATAAGGGAGACGGTCACATTTAGCTTTTTTTGATACATTTTTTTTCTTCCTTTAGTTTCTTTCTTTCAAATTGTGGGTCGGCCCCTGATGGGACACAGTGCACTAATAAAAGGGATTAACATATGGAGTGCAACACTGCTGAATGAGTGTGACTTTTTTGACTAACGTTCACCCTGGATCCACCGTTCTTCATCCTATCATATTTTATGTCTTTTTTT